TTGTCCATGTGCACGATGTCAAACTGAATCGTTTCCTTGTGCCCGTGTAGCATGACCATTTCCAATGGGACCGTTTCGTGGGTCACCATTCCTTCATTAGTCGAGATGGGCTCTCCATCTACGACCATTAACGGGTATGGTTCGGTTTTCAATTGCGTCTTAAAACCTTGCGTGTCTGCTACTTTCTTTGTCATAAAGTTGCCCGTTGCTCCTGAGTCAATCATTGCTCGGAGGTGTCGCTGTTGTATCTTAGCGACCACATATAGTTGCATGCCGCCTTCCGTGGCGCATAGCTGGTTTGTACTAGGCCTCTTCCTGTCGCTCGCCGGTGGCCTACCATCGAGGACTCCTAGTTTTTTGACTCGTCCGAGGAAGGATAGTATTCATCCGCTTCCAATGGTGGTCCTTGGGGAGATCGTTTCCCTCGCTCTTCTGCTTCGTCTAGCAGATGTGGGTATTTCTCGTATACCTGTTCGCTTTTGATAGGCAAGTCCCCTTCAGACTGGCTTCGCCTGAGGGCGTGAACTTGCTCTGCGTCTCTGAAGTGTATCCTGGGCGAGGATCGGGGAAACAACTGATTCTGGTGTTTCTTTTTCCAGTGGAGCTTGCAGTCATCTTCGCTGCAATACTCCCAGTAGACATACGCGTGCCAGGGATGATCAGTCTCTGTTGCGTCTGTCATTGATAGTTCCCGCTGTCCTCTCACCCATGCACTATCTTCCCTCGGAGGCGTGGAGAACGTGTCTAGTTGCTCCATGGCTCTCCTTTCGATGCGTGGAGTGGGTCTCGCATTTTCCCGTCGCAGCATACCTCTGGCTTTCTCGTCGTACTTCTCCAGGGCTCTCCTGCGGTCCTGGTAGTAAAGTTCGACGCTTTTCATATACTTCAGTTTAGCCATATGCTCGACATCCTTCTCCAGTTCTTCCGCTTCTTGGGCTTCCAACTTAGCTATGTCTGGGGACGTGCCAAGCAGCCTGCGGGTATTCGTTAGTTGGTCGTAGTATCTCCAGAGGTCATCCTTGCAGTCATCCACCTTGCACTCTAACGGAAGTCCTTGTAACAGGTTCCCGTAGATGCCCTTAAGCGTGGGGATTCTCCTCTGGCCGCTGGGCTTGTCTCGTTCGGCCCTAATCTTCGCGTGGGCGTGTTTTGCCATGCGTCTTACTACGCTCTTGCACCGTGGACTCATTGGTTCCGTAGGTGCGAGTTCATCGAAGGTCTCCTGTTCCGAGACGGTGAACGATTCCGCCTCCGACCCTTCATCTGAGCTCTCGTCTTCTGGGGTGCTTTCGCCGTTTATTCCCCAGTCCTGTTTGCTTACAAACGTTGCATTCAACTGTCCTGTCCAGGTGGCATTGAGTTGTTTGCCGACTTTGCGTCCGCCGTTCCCTTTCTTTGGCTGTCTGCAGTCTCGGGCCATGTGGCCTGGCTTGTCACAGTTAAAACAGAGTCGTTCCTTGAATTGTCTGTCTTTCTTAGGGTCACGGGGTCGTCCAGGTTTGAACGTGGCATCGAGTTCCATTGGGTCCGACCAACGGTTGTCTCGCGGGTGTTGATCCCGTCGTCTGCCCTCGTTTCCCCGGTAGGGGTAACTTTTCTTGGGCTTGTCATAGGTCCGACGTTCCTTCTGGAATTCGTATAGTCGATTGTCGATTCGGACCGTATGTTCGATTAGCGCTACCATGTCCGTTGGTTGTTGTTCCAAACGGGCAAGTTCCATACGTATATGGCTCTTCAGCCCACGTCGGTAGTGGCTGATGAGTGCGCTGGCGTCCCATCCTGTCTGATTGCCGTATCTCTGGAATTCTGTGGAGTACGTGAGGGCGCTGCCAGTCTGCTTAAGTGCAAACAGATGGTCTTCCGCGGTCTTAATCTCATCGATGTCTCCGAACATGCGTCGGATTTCCTTACAGAATCCTTTCCAGCTGCCAAACATAGTCTGCGTAGTTGCCATGCTTCCATTGGTACTTTCATATTTGAAATAATCCTTGAGGAATGGTTCGATCCATCGCAGGGCTTCCCCCCTAAGGTAGGACGCAGTCCACAGGGCATAGCTCTCCTGGGTGGGAAACTTCTCGTCATTGAAGTGCTGGTACAGTTCGACCTGTAGCAAAAACACCTCAAGTTCCTTTCGGTTGCCGGAGTAAGTGTCGGGCAACTTGACGCGTAGAGTTTCCTTGAGTTCATTGACGGTGGGTGCGTCGGGCATCTCTTCATTCTCAGGCTTAGACCTCTGAGACGAAGTTGGCGTGGTGGGGGTTTTCCCCTTCGAACTGACGACAGACATGTTGCTTTGTGTATGAGCCAGTGCCTCGTAGAAGTGGTGCTCAAAGTGTAACGCTGACTTCTAAACGATAGAAGACACAGAGGTTCTCTTGCGTAAAGGTTTACTTATCAGAGGAGGCAGGGGATCGGACACAAAGGCTTCAAGTAACACGTTACTAGTATATAACAAATACTGTATTGAGTTGAGCACGAAGCTCCTATCTAAGGAAATACTATCTACTTATATAGTGGCGTCGTGCCTACTGGACTCTTGGGAACTCACTTGAGTCCTTGGAGTCCTGGACTCTTAGGACTCTTCTCATCATCCTGCGAGTCCATCACGTGCCTAGTGGACTCCTGGGAACTCACTCGAGTCCTCGGGGTCCTGGACTCTTAGGACTCTTCTCATCATCCTGCGAGTCCGTCACGTGATACTTTCGGAACTACTATTCCCCGCTGCCCCTCCAGGTAGCAGGGCCGATCTCATGCGACCTCCCTCCTTCCTGTCCTGTAGTTGGCCAGCCTTCTTGTTCCGTCGTAACAGCTAAGTGCGAAGATCCAGAAGTTATTAATGGCTGGTTTGAGCTTGTGCGTAACACAATTGCGAAATATGGTATCGATGAAGCAGATATCTACAACTTTGATGAGACTGGGTTTATGATGGGCGTTATCTCAACTGCTATGGTTGTAACAAGCTCAGACGGGCGGGCAAAAGCAAAGAAGGTACAGCCTGGTAATCGGGAATGGGTTACAGTAATCCAAGGCGTTAGTTCTCAAGGTTGGGCAGTACCACCATTTATCATTGTTGCAGGCAAAAACCACCTTACATCTTGGTATGAGAATAGTGGATTTTCAAGCGATTGGGTGATTTCTGTTACTGAAAATGGCTGGACTACAAACGAGAGAGGCATGGATTGGATTCAGCACTTTGAGAAGCATACAAAGGCCCGGAGTGTTGGTGGTTATCGCTTGTTAGTCCTTGATGGTCATGAGAGCCACCACTCAGATGAGTTTGAGGAGTACTGCAAGGAACACAACATTATTACGCTTTGTATGCCTGCTCACTCTTCTCATCTACTCCAGCCACTTGATGTTGGCTGTTTCGGCCCGTTAAAGCAGGCCTATGGTCGGCAAATTGAAGATATGATGCAGGCTCATATTTCTCATATTACAAAGGATGACTTCTTTCCTGCCTTCCACACTGCATTTAACACTACAATGACGGAAAGTAACATTCGAGGCGGGTTCCGAGGGGCAGGGCTTCTTCCATTTGACCCTGAGAGAGTGATATCTACACTTGATCTTAAGTTAAGGACACCAACGCCTCCAAGCTCCCGCCCAGGTACTGCTCAACCTTGGGTTTCTCAGACACCAAACAACCCAATTGAAGCTATGTCACAGTCTACATTTATTAAAACTCGGATTTCACGCCATCAAAATAGCTCTCCAACCTCAATCTATGCAGCTGTTGACCAGTTTACAAAGGGTGCATCGCAAATAATGCATCAATTAGCACTGCTAAAGGGAGAGAACCAAAACCTACGACAGGCAAATGAAGTACTAAGCAAGCGCCGGAGAGCTAGGAAAACACGACTACAGCAAGGAGGATCACTTAGTCAACAAGGGGCGCAAGAGCTACAGGATGAGAGGGATGTTGTGCAGCAGGTAGAGCAGGAAATAAGGGCAAGCCGTGGTCGGAAGCCAAGGGAAGAAACCCGTGCCCGTCGCTGTGGCAAGTGTGGTGAGACTGGGCACAATGCGCGCACGTGTCAGATTGTAATAGACACCTCTGAGGAAGAGGACTCCGAGTAGTTTCAATTGATTTCTAATGTTGTGGTAGATTTATCGCAATGTTTGTCGTGAGGGTAGATAATTTTGGCGCTTTCGCTTGTTTGGCGCTTTCGCTATACATGTACGTTACATGTACAGGGCCCTGCTAATAATGAAGGATATATTGGGACCGTTGAATATCCTCTGGCCTGAGATCAGGAAGGGCGCCCACCTCACCAAAGAACGGATTAGGTGGCTTGAAACTCTAAAAGGCACTTACCAAGACTTCGATCTTCTACTAGAGCCAGATGTCCTACCTACATCATGGAAATGCCTCATTGCGGCTGATCCATACCGTGTTCGCCAGCTTCTCAACTGCAGCAATAGAAAAACCATCAACAGACTATATAGGTGCATGGAACAGTTATTGGTACTCCGGCGGTCGACTGCCACTTCAATCCCTACAGACAGCAACGGCAGCCGTTTGCAACTGAAGAGCCTTATGCCCCCGCACGAAATAACCACAGCACTGCTTAGGATGACCTCTTCGGAAGCTGTGGAATATCAATTCTTCCACCAGGGTTTCGTTAAGTAAGTATAATGCATGCATTCTCTACACCCTGCACCGCTAACATACAGAAGGGATTACGAGGAAGGATTGGAGATTTGGTTGAAAGAAAAAGAGCACCGAGTAGATCCAACTGCTGATCTAAAGAGTTTTCCCTGCATCACTGGCCCAATGCGTTCCATGACTATCAATGCCGTCTCGACCTTATTGAGTCGCTTTCACCAAACCCTTACTCACACCAAGGTGCGAGGGCGTTTCCTCAATGATACTGTAGCCACCATTGCACGATCTCAGGGTTTAACAGGCCTCCAGCTAGCACATTCAACTTTGGGGAGGGGATAGACCTATTACGGACGCTTCAGATCTCCTACAGCACCTGACCTTTGGGAGTCCCAAAATGAGATGGATCATAAAGGATATTATGGAGCACTGCTTGAAGCCAGACAAGGATGGAAAGAGGAATAAACTCTTGTGCTCTGAAGAGATACCAGTCTCCGCTTGGTATGTAGAGATGGTTTGCAAGACCTTCTACATTCGAGCAGAGGTGTTACATGCTGGACTGACTGACCCACAACACATCGCCCTAGTCAAAGAGTTCAATGGCCCTCACTCTAGCCTTGCCGTACTCATCATGATGTATGCGGTGTCATCCCAAGGCGCGAATTTAGACGGTGCATGTCACCATGTTTGTTCGATAACAACAGCAATCAACCTCCCAGTTGAACTGCAGGTTCATTATCGTCCAATCAGAGTAAGAGCCCCCCCTGCCCATGGAACATGTACAGAGGAGGGTGCTAATCCATATGCAGGTTTCTCAGAAGAAGAAAGTCACGATAGTTAGACTATCTGTGCTAAACAGCATGATGCCTGGCGAGAAATTAAGCAGATTGACAAGAACATCATTGATATTCTGACCAAGCTCCATTCTCCCGAGTCATTCCAGGCCATTGCTGATGCACTAAACAACATGCGTGACGAGGTTCTGGCTGCTAATCTCTCTCCCGAGGGCCAGATACTATTGGCTGGGAAAGAAATTCTTCCTTTGCAGCTTCACAAATCATCGTTGTCCTAGAGGATGTTAATTTAATTACTCCTGCTCCTACAGTTGGTGATTCTACCACTGAGGATTGGACTAGCGACAAAGACAAACCAGGGCCATCATTTACTCCAGTTAATCGTCCTCTTCTGAAGAGGAAGCATGCGACGCTAGAAAAAACTGTTCATTCAGCTCATGGAAGAGAGGTGCCTTCCTCGTCTAGTGGCCCTTCTGGAGAGTACATCCCACACAGGATTGATAGCGAATCTGATGATGACATCAATGCTATAATTGCCCCTGGTGATCTAAGTGATGACAACAATGGGCCTGAGCTTACACCTACCGATTACATCAAGGATTTCAAGAAGTCGTGGACGAAGCTTACCCCTGAGGAGAAAGCTCTTTATGACCAAGATGAACTTGATTTTCTTGTGTTGTTAAGCATGGACCCAAACCATGTGTACACTGGTGTAGAGATCCAGGGTACCCTTGACTCAGCGATTGCAGACCGTGGATTACGCCTCGTTATTGCTCGACGCTCCTGCCTGCGCTGCCTTCGGGCCAAAGCTCGTGACATCAAGGACCAAGATTGTGTCTGGACCCCGCCTCCTTCAAGTTGGAGTACTGCACGGCGCAGCACTCCACCTGCGTTCCGGTGAGTTCCCTTGTGGTGTTCTGTCTCTGTTGGCGTTTGCTAACCATTTGGATAGCTGCCCTGGTTCCTCGACGAGGAATACTGCATCCTTACTGCTGCCGAAGCAACAGATCCTTTGTCATACTGACATTCGTTGCACTCAGTTTGCTATCAAACTCAAGAGCAAACTTAGAAATCTCCTCCTCAAACCTACAAGTCACCATACATATCTTGGCTTATCACACCAACAACAGAAGTAATACTACTCAACGATTTCTGCAAACTCTTCTACTACATCTGTTTATGCTACATACATCACGGCATATCATTTGGACACTCATTGAACAAGTTATTAAGAAAATTCCCTCCTTAAGGGGGTGGGCCAATACTACCACATGGCATATCTCTACCAACTAGAGGCCTAGGAACATGAACGATAGCTCTAGAAGCTTCTACAACCCTCTATGATTCATTACACGTCATCGCTCCTTAGTTACCCACAAGATTGGTTAAGTTATGACATAATTTGTCTATAGGTACTCTGACCTTGGACCTCCTTTTAACTTCCTATAGGCTAGGAACCCAAGAGATGGTTCTATGGGATTCTCTTACGTTCACTACATGATTAGCAAGCTAGTTGTGGGTCGCACTTGATTTCTAATACATTTACCAAGCCTGGTTAGTCATGGAAAGTCATGGAAAATGAGAGAACTACACTCCTTTGGCATAAATAGGATTGCCCTTTCCTTAAGAAAGGGCAAGCAGGCAATACAGTAAATTGACTATCACATACTTCCACGTCTTTTACAAGCTTCCAAGCATTCATCTTGTTACTCCTTGTTTCTGAAAAGTCAGTGAGGTGTTAACCTCTGACTTACCCCTGAGTTCCCAGACTCAACATTTGTTGCAACTTGTCTGAACCACTTCACTACATCACACACCTGATTGCTGCGTTGTGGAATAGTCTAAGCTACAACCCTTTGGCTCTGTTTCCTAAGACAGTGTGTTGTCTTAGTAAAATCATCCCTTCCTTGGGTGGCTAGATTCTCACATCTGGTGCACCCACCATTACATCCTTGGTGTTACGATTACAGCTCACAGCTTGTCACAGCTTGTTACGGTTGTTACGCTTGTTACATGTAATGATGGGTGCACCAGATATGAGAATCTAGCCACCCAAGGAAGGGATGATTTTACTAAGACAACACACTGTCTTAGGTATCCATCAGAACCTCATTAAGAACTGGATCATGGCTTTTGACTGGGTCTACTACATTCGACATCCTAATACCATAGGACTTGACAGTAGGGCAGTACAGTCTTCTGTACATGTACGGGAGAGTCTGTAGCCATTGGAACAGAGCTAGCATTAAGGTGGGTCTTAGCGATCTTGCTCACAACCTCAGAGATTGGTGCTAGCATCCGCACAAAGCACCTCAGAGCCAAGCTCCTTCCGATATCGTGAGTTGTTGAAAACACTGGGGACAAGAAGGGCTCCTCGCTGTCTTCGTTATGGTCAAGAAGGGCATTGTATTTAATGTGGGGGGAGACCTTAACCACAGAACGCGCCCGACAAAGCTCCCGCGGGAGTCAGAATCAGCATCACAAAGTTGGAATTGTGCGCAGAATCCCGTCAGCCCAGTACACGTTATCACCCCCGCGCCAACACATTCCCATCACCTACTCATTCTTGTGGATTGGAAATATCCTATCCAATTTGTTAGTGCACCGTCGGACAATCCACGAGAAGGGGTCACTTACAGTTCTCGGAGGGGTGGTCGACTATGTAATGGTAGTTATAAGGAGGCTTTCTATAACAGTGAATCCTTTGCTCGATCATATAATATAGCTACTCTCTCCTATAAGAGCTATGAGGGAAGCCGTTAATTATGTGCATTTGGTGTAGCGCATCATGCGCTTAACCTAGGCTTATAACCTATTAAACACATAATTGGAGTTTGACGACTTAATTGAGAAACTACAGGGGCGAAGCCCCTATATATACACAGTTGGTATACAGGCTACGCATATGTAGCGTACTACTAGGAACGCAGTTCTAACAATACCTAGGAAGTAGTAATGTCAGGTGATTAATTCTAACCTAGCCTTGTAGAGTATTACTTGTCCCCTTTCATTGCCACTGTTGACGAGCGCTTTACCCTTACCACTCTTCATGTAAGGACTGGTCCTTTGGGGTGTAGCCTCTCTATCCTGCACTAGACACCACATCCGAAGATCCTACACTGAAAACGCTATGCGGAAAATAAACCGGCATATAGGTAACGCCACCATGCCTACCACGAGGCAGGAGTGCAGACAGCGTCCCAGCCCTATCTCCGTAACATGAATCAAATCAAATGATTGCAACTATGAGGTATTTTCAGCTATAAACGCAGGATTGGTACACTATACACGAGTACAACGCAGCCAGTATCAGCTTATGACGAAAGTTGGTCGCACCGCCGCTAATCAGTTCAACTATTCTCATCGTTCTTCGGTCGATCGCTCCTTGGTACGATTGCAGACATCGTAGTTGGATGTGGTATACTGTCACCACATTTAATATATCACTAATGAAGAGGCCGTCGATCCGGTAAGTTTTCACCCACTGTCGTATGTTTTTTTGTTGTTTATTCTTGCCTTCTGTAACTCTTTTATCAGCACTTACCCCCGTGCACGGACGACAACAAACGCTCTGGTCGCTCTGGGAGCTTCGGGGGTACGGCCCGATAAGCGAAAGTTGGGGAATACAACCGCGTCTAAACACTCTCTCAAGCTTTTTTTGAACGACACGCAACAATCCGCGTCTACAGCGCCAATGCTTCTCCACGCCCACGAAGCACGGCTGGTGATGCTCCTCCGACGATGCTACAGGTCACCGCGTTCTCTGTCCGCCCGCCGCGGGGAGCGGCTCTACTCCACGATGTGGGTCTTGGGCACCTCCGCCCCCCGACCACGAGCTGGGCAGTCGAGCTGTAAGACTGGGAATTCAGCACGCAGCTTGACGAGTACAACTGGCGGTGCACCGGAGCACGTTGCTGTCCTCGGCGGTGGTATCACGGGGCTCGTTGCGGCGGCCACGGCGGCCCAATTAAACCCCGATACCAGAGTCACAGTATACGAATCTAGCGACCGGCTAGGGGGATACGTGCAGAGCGAGGTGGTGCAGAGTTCAGATGGGCCGGTTGTGTTTGAGCTGGGCCCACGGTCGCTGAGGCCTGCTACGGCGAGGGGGTATTATGCGCTGTCCATGGCGCAGAATTTGGGGCTGGAGGATAATATGGTGTTTACGTCCAAGGATAGCCCGGCGGGGTCGAATCGGTTTATTTACTATCCTGATAAGTTGGTGAGGGTGCCGAGTCCGAATGATGGTCGGTTACAGGTGCTTTATAAGTTGTTGACAGAGCCATTGTTTGAGGGGGTCGCCGGGGCGCTGTGCGCGGAGTCGCAGGTACCGAGACGCCCTGATAACCTAGTGGATGAGTCGATTGGAGGGTTTCTAAAGAGGCGTAGTGGCGGGAACAAAAATCTCGTGGATAATATTGTTAGTGCGGTGGTTCATGGCATATTCGCGGGTGATGTGAACCAGTTGAGCGTGAGAAGTTTGATGCCTCGCTTGTGGGAGGCGGAAGGGCGATTCGGAAGCCTCTCGATGGGGATGGTTAGGAACAAGCCGGAGGGGTATGGGCCTAACGGGATATCTGATTTGCATGAGTCGGGAGAGCAGATACTTGGCCAGGGACTGGGTGAGAAGGCGCGCCAGGCGAGTATATACACGTTTATGAATGGGATGCAGACGCTACCGGATGCTTTGAGGCGGCTTATTAAGGGGTCGAGGAATGCGAATATCAGGGTGGGGACGAGCATTTCGGGGATTTCAAACAGCCCAGATGGAAAAACCATACGAGTGAGCGCCCCTTTTCCCCCCTTTCAATGATCCCTCCACCAAGCTCATCAGCACTCGTCTTTCTTCATCCCTCACACACCTCCCAACCGTGTAAGCTAACCAGGCCCAGATCAAAACCTTCAACAACCAACCCGCCCAGCCCTACAGCCACGTTATCTCCACGCTCCCCTCCCACAACCTTAGCCACCTCGTCAACATCCCCGCCCTATCCCTCATCCCTTACACCACCGTCATGGTCGTGAACCTTTACTACACCAACCCCCACCTCGTCCCTCGACCCGGCTTCGGCTACCTCATCCCGCAATCCGTGCCTTTCAAGCAGAATCCCGAGTTCGCACTCGGCGTCGTCTTCGACTCCCACGCCACGCCCTACATCGACGGCGCCCCGGGCACAAAACTCACCGTTATGCTAGGGGGCCACTACTGGGACGGGTGGTCGGCGGATGAGCTACCAACGCCGGAGGAGGGGCAGCGGATGGCGGAGCTGGTGCTGGCGAGGCATTTGAAGATCACCGATAAGCCGGATCGGGTGCTGGCGACGTTGCATAAGAATTGCATACCACAGTACACGGTTGGGCATAAGGAGCGCCTCCAGAGTGTTGATGCGGGGATTAGGAGGCTGTTTGGGAATAAGTTGAGTGTGGGGGGAGCGTGGGTAGATGGGGTGGGGGTGAATGATTGTATATTGAGTGGGGCGTTTCAGGGTCTTTCGATCCGTAAGGGGTATACGGGGTTGGAGTTGGCGTTGGAGAGTAGGGAGAAGCTGAGGACGATGGTGCCATCGGGATTGATGATGTAGAGAGGGGGTGGGTGTAGAGGATTGTTGCGCTGGGGCGTGTGGTTTTTTATACCCGCCTTGTTTTAATACGTCGAAAAAATATAAATATAATTTATTTTCGTCTACAGGCGGTATTTTCAAAAATTCTTGTGAATATTTGTTTATCATACTTTTACTCCCATCTTTTTCTCTCAAAGATTTTCAACCAAACGATAACAAGCGCTTCACGATGACCTTTTCACCCCAAGACTCGGTCAGCGCTAGTCCTCCCACGACCGCCCTTCGAGACGATAGCAGCACAATCCCCGACTAAGGCGCTACACACCACCTTAATCGACCTTAATCCCCACCTTCCCAATCTTCCTCAACCCAAACCCAATAATCGCAAGCACCACCACATTCGCACCAAAGCAGAGCCAAAACGTCGCTCTATACCCATCCATCAGCATCTCCGCGACACTCTCATCCTTCCCCTTCTCCGAGAGGGTGACGCTCGACGCCACAACAGCAGTGATAGCCAGACCGACTGAGTTTCCGATATTCGAGATGGTGTTGAAGACACCCCCTGCCAAGCCGTGCGTCTTGGGTGGGAACACAGAGGTGATTAGCAGATTGGCGACGGTGAAGAGAACGTCGGCGCAGATGGGGGCGCATGCCGTGGCGAAGAAGGCGTAGGTCCAGTACGAGGAGGCGGGGTTGATGATTGCCATTAGGAGGGGAGACAAGGCGCTGATGCATGCGGATGCGAGGACGAGGATATCTGCGCGAACGCGCTTGACTAGCCATCCCGTGAGGAAGTTTGTTCCTGTACCCGTGATGACCATGGGGAGGAAGCGGATGGAGGTCTGGATAGCGGAGAGTGACTGCACGGATTGGAAAAAGAGGGTTAGGAAGAATTGGACGGCGTTGAAGGTGCCCCATATGATAAAGACAGTGGTGCAGAGGGAGGCGAAGACGCGGTTGCTCCAGATGGAGGGGGGGATGATGGCTTTGAGACCGAGACGCTCTTGGCGCTTGACGTAGAAGATGAAGGCGGGGATGAGGGCCGTGGCGATGGAGAAGAGGGTGATGGATGCGGGGGCGAGAAAGTGCGATGCGCCGCTCGCGAGGACGGAGAGGACGTAGGACAAAAGCCCGAGAGAGGTGCTGAGGAGCATGCACCCGATCCAGTCAATTTCGGTGCCCATGCGACGGAGTATGGTGCGGAGGGATTGGGACTCGGCGGCTTGGTCGACGGGGACGCCGAAGATGGAGATGACAAAGATGACGGCGGTGAGGATGGCAGCGATGTAGTATCCGTACCGCCAGCCGATCGCCTCGACGAAGGCGCCGCCGATAACAAGCCCGACTGAGAATCCAACGGGTTGCCCAGCACCCAAGCATGAGAACGCGATGTTACGCCACGAGCCGGTGGGGATGTTGCTCGTGATCAGGATCACAGAAGAAGGGAGACATAGTGACAATGCCACTCCCTGCGCGGCACGGAACAGGATCAGCTGGATGCTGGTCTTACAGACACCGCAAGCGACGGTGGTTACGGCCATGAGAAAGACGCCAAGGAGGTAAATCCGTCGACCCCCGGCGACATCCGCTATTGATCCCGAGAGGAGGAGGGTGCAACCGCATGCCAATGCGCTCACGGAAGCAGGCCAGAGCAGTAGGTCTTGGGATAGGCCTAGTTCAGCTGCCATTGTGGGCAAACTGACGACTAGGATGCCTGCTAACATGGAGTTAATCAGCGTGATGCAGGCGACGGTGCCGACGATGACGGTGGCTCTCCATTTGGAAATCGCTGGTGCATCTCCATTAGCATTCGTCAGGGGCTCGGTGATTTCTTCATCTGCTGGGCCCTGTACAGCTTGAGCGTTAAAGCTTGCTTGGCTTGTCTTTGGATCTTGGCCCAGGGTGGGATATCCCATGGGTTCCAGTTCAATGCCCCCATAGTCTTCCTCCCAGATCTCGAGACTAGTGGTTGTTGCCGACATCGTGATGGAAGCCACAGAACTAGCGTAAGAAATTGGACGGCAGGAGGGCAAAGTGCAAGATGTCAAGATCAGATCAATTCCGCTCCGATAACTCTTATACTCATCTTTGAATAACTTTATAGGATAAATGATTACATTGGTGCTGGTAAAGATTCATTAGCCCATGACTAAGCAGCCGCCGTCCATCGGCTTAAGAGACTCGTCGGCTTAATACGGGGCAAAGAAATCGCTCGCCAATCAGCAATCACATTCCATCAAGGGTCTGCATCTTGAAGCCATCACGAGATCTAGCTACGTCAAGCTTTGGAACCCACTGATCGTCAGCTGCAGTGTAGCCTGCCCACCTAATCAGATATTCCTCTCGGATTCCTCTACCCCTCCGCACAGTCCTGTGGTCTAGGACTGCCTCGACCTTGTATTCTTCTTCCCCATCCACGATCTCTGGATCTGGTGGAGGATCGGCCTTCTCAACGCCTTCCCGATACCTCTCGAGTAGGGAGACGTGGAACACGTCGTGAATCGCCTTATACCGTGGGGGAAGCCTCAATCGATACGCCTGTTTACCTATCCGCCCGGTGATCTCATACGGTCCGAGCCACCGGTGACCTAGCTTCCTACTTGGCTGGGTGGTTCTGATATTCTTGGCAGAAAGCCACACCCGTTCGCTGACCATGAACTGCATTGGCTTGTGGATCTTGTTATATCCTCAGACTTGGGCTTCCTTCGATCTCGCCCAGGCCTCTTCAAGCTCCTTTCGTAGGTCGAGGATCTTCTGAACTCGGTCTCTTGCAACCGGCACCTCCCTTCTCATGGGGTCGTCCTCGATCCCTTGCCGCAGGTCGATGTTGATACCGTATCGAGCCTGATTTGGCAACATCTGGATGGAATCGTGGAAAGCATTATTGTAGGTAAGCTCCGCGAAGTGAAGAAGTTCTACCCAATTGTCCTGGTGCTGATTGCAGTGTAGGCGTAGGTAGGCCTCAATATTCTGGTTCTGCCTTTCCGTCTGGCCGTCAGATTGAGGGTGGAAGGCAGTCGATAGGTTCCGCCGTACTTTGAGGTGGAAACAGAAGGCCGACCAGAAGTGGCACGTAAATACGCTGCCGCGGTCTGTGATTATTTCAGCAGGAATTCCAAAGTCCTTAACCCAATACTCAAGGAAGACCCGCCCCAACTCGGTGGCAGTAATGGTCTTCCGGCAGGGTATATATTTGGATACCTTGGTGTATCGGTCTACGATTACCAAAATGGAGTCTGAAGCCTTAGCTTGGTCTGCTCCTATACTAGGCGGCAGATCTGTGATGAAGTCCATACTTATGGACTCAAAGGGCTTAGTAGGCATTCTAAGGCCTTGCATTTCGCCGTAGGGTCTATGCCGTACCGGCTTGATCCGCTGGCACCAATCGCAGCCACGTACGTACTCCCTGGCTTCCTGGTCTAATCCAGGCCAGTAGTATTTCCGTCGGATCAGTTCCTGGGTCTTCTTATATCCGAAGTGCCCAGCCAAAGGGTCGTCGTGGCAAATCTTGAAGATTTCCATACGTACTGCCTGATTGGGAGGCACGTAGGCCGCTCCCTTGAAGCGTAGGATGCCTGCATCGTCTACTCTCCAACCTGAAGAGCCCTTCGCCCACGCCGACCCTGCTTCTCTGGCCCTGTGAACAGCGAGCTCGTCAGCCGCTTGAAGGGTTTTGATCAGATCCGCTAAGGGTTCGGCCGTGGCACTGTAGGCGCTCTCTCCCTGAGCCATGGCTGCCACCATAACTCGAGGGACAACGAGACCTGGACTCTTGGTGTCCTTACTCTGGTCTTCGCCCAGTGTGGTGCCTACTTCTTGTAAGTCAGCCACTACCCGCCTCATCTGCGAATGGCACCCAGTTGCCTTTTTCAGCAAAAAGCTAGATCCAGCAGAGCTGAACTATGAAGTCCATGACCAGGAACTCCTGGTGATTGTGAAGTCCTTTGAGCAATGGAGACACTACCTCGAAGGAAGCCAGTACCCAATTGAGGTCCTAACAGATCACAACAATCTGAAGATTATGGAAACCACCGCCCTCACAAGGAGGCAAGCGCGGTGGGCGCAGGCGTTATCAGCCTATGATTTCCACATCTCCTATCGAGCGGGAAAAACAAACCCAGCAGACGGTCCATCTAGGAGACCAGATTATGAGGGTGAAAAGGGTAGCCAGAATGTGATGCTACTGACCCTTAAGAACAAGCTCCGAGAAGCCATGCAGGCAGGAGGTATCCCGCAGATAAGTCGGACGATAACAAGCCAAGAAGGCTTTCAGATAGGAGAACCTAACCTACAGCGTAGGAAGGCAAACGCTAGCAGCGTAAGACTGGGCGATGACCATAGTAAGGACACCAAGAGTCCAGGTCTCGTTGTCCCTCGGGTTGCAGTAGCTGCTGTAGCCAAGGGAGAGAGCGCCTATAGTGCTGCGTCTGAACCCCTAATAGACTTGATCAAAACCCTCCAGGCGACTGACGAGTTAGCTGTTAAAAGGGCCAAGGATATTGGGTTGGCGCGAGCAAAGGGCTCTTCAGATTGGAGAGTAGACGATGCAGGCATCCTACGCTTCAAGGGAGCGGTATACATACCTCCCAATCAGGCAGTGCGGATGGAAATCTTCAAGATTTGCCATGACGACCCACTGGCCGGGCATTTTGGATATAAGAAAACCCAAGAGTTGATCCAACGCAAATACTACTGGCCTGGCCTCAGCGAGGAAACCAGGGAGTACGTACGGGGCTGCGATAGATGCCAGCGCATCAAGCCCGTGCGGCATAGGCCATATGGCGAAATGCAGGCCTTAAGAATGCCCTCGAAACCATTTGAATCCATAAGTATGGACTTTATCACGGATCTGCCCCCAAGCGTAGGGGCGGATCAAGGCAAGGCTTCAGACTCCATCCTTGTGATTGTTGATCGTTATACTAAGGTGTCCAAATATATACCCTGTAGGAAAACCATCACGGCCCCAGAGCTGTCGCGCCTCTTCCTTGCGTTCTGGGTAAAGGACTTTGGAATCCCAGCTGAAATAATCACGGATTGAGGGAGTGTGTTCACCTGTCACTTCTGGTCAGCGTTCTGTTTTCACCTCAAAGTAAGGCGTAACCTATCGACTGCTTTCCACCCTCAATCCGACGGCCAGACCGAGAGGCAGAATCAGAATATTGAAGCCTACTTGCGGATCCACTGTAATCAGCACCAAGACAACTGGGTGGAACTCCTCCACTTCGCGGAATTGACCTACAATAACGCCTTCCATGATTCCATCCAGATGTCGCCAAACCAGGCCCAATACGGCATCAATATAGACCTAAGACAAGGGATCGAGGACGACCCCACCAGAAGGGAAGTGCCAGTCGCGAAAGATCGCATCAACCTGATCCTAGAATTGCGACAGGAGCTCGAAGAGGCGTGGAAACAGACGAAGGAAGCCCAAATACGAGGCTACAACAAGCTGCACAAGCCAATGCAGTATGTGGTAGGAGAGAAAGTATGGCTTTCGGCCAAGAATATCAGAACCACCCAGCCAAGTAGGAAGCTTGGGCACCGCTGGCTTGGCCCGTATGAGATCACCCAGTGCATCGGTAAGCAGGCTTACCAGTTGAAGCTACCGCCAAGGTATAAGGCGATCCACAACATGTTCCACGTGTCCTTACTAGAAAGGTATTGGAAAAACACAGAGGAACCCAACCCTCCACCTAGCCCAGAAATTGTGGACGGTGATGTCATACTGACATTCGTTGCACTCAGTTTGCTATCAAACTCAAGAGCAAACTTGGAAATCTCCTCCTCAAACCTACAAGTCACTATACATATTTTGGCTTATCACACCAACAACAAGAGCAATACTACTCACCGATTGCTACAACCATCTATGATTCATTACACGTCATCGCTCCTTAGTTACTGGGCCGATATTACCACATAGCATATCTCTACAACCCTCTATGATTCATTACATGACATCACTCATACTACCACATGACATATCTCTACCAACTAGAGGCCTAGGAGCATGAACGATAGCTCTAAAAGCTCCTACGAACCTCTATGATTCATTACATGTCATCGCTCTTTAGTTACCCACAAGATTGGTTAAGTTATGACATAATTTGTCTATGACATAATTTGTCTATGACATAATTTGTCTATAGGGGTACTCTGACCTTGGACCTCCTTTTACTTCCTATAGGCTACGAACCTAAGAGATGGTTCTATGGGATTCTCTTACGTCGACTACAGTTACCAAGCCTGGTAAGTCATGGAAAGTCTTGGAAAATGAGAGAACTACACTCCTTTAGCATAAATAGGATTGCCCTTTCCTTAAGAAAGGGCAAGCAGACAATACAGTAAATCGACTATCACATACTTCCACGTCTTTTCCAAGCTTCCAAGCATTGATCTTGTTACTCCTTGTTTCTGAAAAGTCAGTGAGGTGTTAACCTCTGACTTACCCCTGAGTTCCCAGACTCAACATTTGTTGCAACTTGTCTGAACCACTTCACTACATCACACACCTGGTTGCTGCGTTGTGGAATAGTCTAAGCTATGACCCTTTGGCTCTGTTTTCTAAGACAGTGTGTTGTCTTAGTAAATTCATCCCTTCCTTGGGTGGCTAGATTCTCACATCTGGTGCACCCACCATTACAGGTGAGGAAGAATACCAAGTAGAAGCGGTCCTAGACCACAGGATAATCAAACGAGGCAGGGGCCAGAGAGAGGAATACCTTATTAGATGGGCTGGTTATACAGCCGCAGACGACCAATGGGTGCCAAAACATGACGTAGGGCTATCATTAATCGAGGCATATTACAGGAAGCATGCACAAGGAAGCAAGGATGGGACAACGTAATGGTATTGGCCCTACAAACTATGAGAACGATCAATCAGAACCCTGGTCAGATGAGGACGACGACGAGGACTCGGACTCAGACGAGGATGACGAAGAAACAGGGATCGCACCCTCGTCCCCAGACGACAAGGACAGAACTGAAGGAGGCCCTGGGGGTGCTGGTGGAGTGTTGAACTTCCACTTGCTAGGCTTCACAAATCAGCGCTCCAACAGAGCACATCTGGCCTGGGAAGTTGTAATACGTGTGCGCACACTTCATGCAGAACGGGCGGGAGCCAGCGCGAAGGCGTCCTGCAGAATCAGGAACCTCACAGCGGGCAGCGACCTTCCACCCAAGCACGGTGCGCTCATCCTTTGGAGCCTCGGACTCAGGAACGATGGAGCCTTCAAGATCCTCAGCTTCGTCCTCGACTTCAGGCGAACGATATGGACGGATAGTGCGAGAACATGATGTGGAGGAGGTGACAACAGAAGGAACAGGCGTGGCGGGCACCTGCGACTCGGGAGAGCTGGACATCTGGGCCGCTGGTCGCTTGCGAGGTGTAGCAACTAGAGCCTTCCCCTTTGGCTTGGGAGCCATGATGAGGGTTGGACGATGTGAGATCTATCCGTAACGATAAGCTCCTGCAATCCAGGTGGAAAGGAAGTGATTACCTTAAAGAAACAAGCAACTGTGTAGGCCCCAAAGGTTGGGACTAAGATCGAGGGCGAAAGGCGAAGTAAGGTGATGTTGAGGATGAAGGTGGCAGGAAGTTCGATAGGAAGTTTGGAAGGAAGTAGGAGTTTGGCGCGAGACCCATAACAAAGGGGGTGGCCGCGGCAATCCACAACCAAGGGGGGTCACGGGACCAGCACACCAAGCGCACACCCAAACAAGTCCACCACCCGGGTCAAAACAAAAAGTCTAAACAAGCCAGGAGGGCAAGTAAGCCCTAGCTGCGAAACCTTGGAATTGAGGGCAATCCCTCTAAGAGGGGAGGTAATTGTAAGGAAGGCCATCACGTGCCACCACGTGAGGTCCCTTTCATAAGCGGCCCATAGGGCTCGGTAAAATAGGGCACAAGGTGCATAGATAAAAGGGGTTGGAGGCCTCGGAAGAAGGCCTCCAGTCAATAGTCGCTGTATATACGTAGACCTATTGTTACGCATTGAATCCTACTTCCTACCTACTGATCTGGTTCCCTGAGCTCCCATGTGACCCTGGGTCCTACGCCTTTACAGGCCTCCAGGACTATCTCAAGGTCCAAATACAGCGTGCACAAGACGAGCAGGCTCAGGCTTTTAACAGGGGGGTGGTTGCACCACAATTTAAAGTTGGTGATGAACGGATCTGGTGTTGCGACGGTTCTTTTTCATCGAGGCCGTCGTGACAGCCGATGTGCCCGGTGGCCGAGATGCAGTGACCCATTCCTGTTGCTCAGGAAGAGGCGCGATCCACTTGCCTCTGTTTGGCTTGACATTCTCCTGAGCAACAGGATATGGAAGCTGTGCCAAGGGCCGGCAGAGATCGTGTTTGTATCATTCGAAGAATGTTCCAGCGAGCGAGGCAATGTCTGAGACGGGTCGGCGATGGATGTGGCGTTATCGGCTACATTGGAAACAGATATGAGGGATTGACCTGGAAGCTTCGGATGAAGGTCGGCAACATGCCCCTCATTGGTTGCGCCATTTGAAGTAAGAACTGGGACATGCTCCAAAACCCGAGGTGGATTCATCGACTGGTAAGTAGTCTCGTTTCCTTGAGCAGTTGTCTCTGGAAGGGCCCCAGAGGATTCAGATAATTGCAAACCTCTGATGGAGCAGTCGGAGTCATTGAGGTTCCAAGTGCGATGCACGGGATAAGGTACGCATACGAATGCTCTGGCGCCTCTCCTCCTTCACGCTGGCTCGGCAGGCTCTCACTTCCTCGAGGCTTGGTGGTGGTGGCTGCACTCTCAACTCAGCAATAACCCGAGCTCTATCCTCATTGATGGACTGGGGCCCATGGGTTGATGCAATATGAGCTCCAGTGTGATTTGAAGTGGCACTGGCGGTGGCAATAACCTGAAAAATACCTTAGGCCTCCACTGAAGCAGCAGCTTGAAGGTCCACTGCATCTTTGGTTGGGGCTTGGGCAGATGCTGTGCCTCCAGTTGGGGCATCAGTTCGAGAAGATGTTGTATGTATAGCTGGGGCAACAGTTTGATGAGATACCAATTTCTTGGCGGTGCTTGTGCCTGTTGTAGCAATGGTCATAGATGAAATTGCTTCATTTCTGGCAAGGGCTGAGACTGAAACTGAGACTTCTGGAATTATTTGGCCCTGAGCCAGCTGTCCAGCTTGGTCCTCGGATTGGGCAGTGAGTTGAGAAGATTCCTGGCCATGGCTTGATGTGGAGACACGAAGGTTTGTCTGGCGTTGGTTTGCAATAATACCTTTTCCGTCCTTGATCGTTTCAGAGATTCTGGCTTCAGTTTTGTTTGTAGTAGCCTCTTCCAGAAGATGAATGACATCGGGGGTCTCATCTATGGGAGACTCGAGGTCATTATCTTCAGTAAATGCCTCCAAAGTTTCCTCGACCTTTGTGGTCTCATTTGCTATCCATTCAGTTAGAGCTACGTCTACACCGATAACTTTGGGATATTAAACTCACAATTAATCTCCGTAATCTCAGCTTGAACTGTAGCAACACTGCTGGCTTCACCAGCCTGTTCCACTACATCAATCTTGCACTTAGTCCTACGGCGCTTGTTCTTGCCTGTTTTTGCTTTTGGTCGCTTTTGGATGACCATGACTGGTTCAAGCCTTGAAAAGCCCTGACTCAATATCGGAATGACCTCCAAACCATAATATAGTTTCGAAATGTTGTTGAAATTCGGAAAGCCTGGATTTCTTCCTTCCATGTTTGCGATACAGTCCTGGGTATCATTGTTCAGACATGTCTGGATCAAGAATCAATGGTTGTCTTTCGCAAACTGATGGAGGTCATCGTGGGTTGGAGAGATGATTGGTGCCTCGTCATCAGTATTGGTCTTGCAGCAAAGTGTGTCAATTGAGTCATGCTCGATCTGAAGCGCCTTGTTACGACGGAACAAGAAGGCTGGCCAACTACAGGACAGGAAGGAGGGAGGTCGCATGAGACCGGCCCTGGTACCTGGAGGGGCAGCGGGGAATAGTAGTTCCGAAAGTATCACGTGACGGACTCGCAGGATGATGAGAAGAGTCCTAAGAGTCCAGGACTCTGAGGACTCGAGTGAGTTCCCAAGAGTCCACTAGGCACGACGCCACTATATAAGTAGATAGTATTTCCTTAGATAGGAGCTTTGTGCTCAACTCAATACAGTATTTGTTATATACTAGTAACGTGTTACTTGAAGCCTTTGTGTCTGATCCCCTGCCTCCTCTGATAAGTAAACCTTTACGCAAGAGAACCTCTGTGTCTTCTATCGTTTAGAAGTCAGCGTTACACGCCTCTGGGTCTTTAGTGAAGATTTCAGCAATGGTCTCATTGTGGGCCTTCATTCTATTGTAGAGAAAGTCCGTGCTCCATACAGTTTGACCAAATGTAGTGCCAATGTAGCTATAGGGAATGGTGGAGTTTGAAGACGGGATGCCGTGGCTTGCAGAAAGACGTGAATTCTCATAACCCTGTGATTGTTAGTGAATAGGTTTCGTGTGTCTTCACACAGCTATAACTTACCTCAGCCCAAATCCTGAGATCGATAAAGCCCTCTTGCTCCCTCTAACAGTGCTAAGGAATGTGGCATTTAGGGCTAAAAATAGGGGTAAAGTTAGTAAATAGGCATCATTAATTCATATTTTGTGGAGTAGAAGATAATATGCCTTCATACTCTCTTGTAATGCAAGCTCAACCTATAGAACTCTAAGCTTATAGAGCTACATCTTAGCAAATTAAAGAGGATACAAAAATTTGCCATTTGCACTTAGTTTCCAAGGGCGTCCTGTTCGAGGGGCATTAATAAGATGTGTATCAAGTAATTGCTTGTTGATATCTGGATTATATCTACAGTAGCGTGCTTCAGCCATGTAGTATCACACTTGCCGCTTAGAAGAGACTCTTATAAAGAGTATAAAACTGGACTGTAACTATCGAGAGAAGACAGTAGCAACAATTAGTTATGAGAATGGTGTGTCTACAATGACTACTTAAGTACTACAATGGCATAAACTAATAAAACGAAAGCTAACATGGAAACTAGGATTAACTAAAGTGATGAGAGAAGCACGACTACAATTCGCTCTACAATATACACATTAGACTCTTATGGATTAGAAAAACGTTATATAGACAGACAAAATATCTATAGTCCTTAGCCATTGACGTAGAGGATTTAAAGTATAGAGGACAAAAGATGAGAGATTCGAGCCATCTGTTATTCGCTCTTGATGGCATAGAGCATAGAATTCATGTAGTGGAGCTGTTTTACATATGATAAAAAGGGGCCATATCACATTTGGAAAAAGGAGACAGCAAAGGAGAAGAGAGAAGCAGCAATTGAAATCGAAGCATTTAATAATACAATTGAAGCGCAATGCAAAGAGGAATGGAAACTTGAAAATGGAATATGTCACCTTGGATTACGAAACTATAGAGGAAGGAAGCCAGAGTGGAAGTTTACAAAAAAAGACAGGAGCAGTGAGCTATGAGAAAGGAAAAGGAGAATTAATGCATGGTAATACCGAAAAGTCATCCTTAATCCTTTACTTCTACCGTTTGCACAAGAGTATAAGAAGGAAAGGCCAAATACTATTGTACAAGAAGATAAAGCACCATCTTATGCGTTAAAGTGGCAAAAGGCTGTCTTTAATAGGTTTAATATTCAACGGCTATTGTAGCTAGGTAATTCGCCCGACCTTAATATGATTAAGCCTTGTTGGAAGCAGGTTACTACTTGTAAAGGGCCTCCTACAACTTAGAAGACTATGGAAATCATGTGGAAAAAGGCATAGGAGGAGCTTGAATAACAGAGAATATAGGCGTCGATTAAGAGGATTCCACGCCATATTTAAGAGGTTATTAGACTCGAAGGAGGAAATGGATATAAGGAAGGGGTTAGTGATATATCTACACATGGCAAGGCACGTAGGAACTATTAACTATTATACTTGATTTTCATTTTATGAAACTATAGGTGTGAGTATTGTAAGCACTCATTTTGACAGGGGTAGGTTATACCCCTGCCTAGTAAGGACTTTTGGTATACGCCTCTGTAGATAGTGTAGTAATTCAATTAATCTGTTTCATTCTATATACTGTAGTCTACTGTCAAGTTTTCCTGCCTGTTGCGTAAAAGCCGAATGCCTAGTCACTAAAACATCACACGATTTACATGTAGTTGCAATATCTCGGTCCTTCCTCTAACAGGTTATGAGCTCTTTAGTGATGCTTAGAAAGCTTTGTGTTTTGAACTAGATAATTGATTCTGAAGACTTACATCAATAAAGTGAGAGCCTAAGCTATCCGCTAGTAATACTCAGTCTAAAGGAGTCTGTAAAGCAAGCCATCAATTTAGCTATGGCAGTCTAGCTCTATAAGGCAGAAAGTGATAACAGCTTACAAAAAATAGAGTCAGAACACATCAAATGGTCCTAGATCCAGAAGCTGTCTAGTCTGAACTATTAGAATTAGGCCCTCTAAATCCAGATTGAGCTTATTAACAGGAAAGTCTAGAGTGCCACTAATGCTAGTTTTACGCTCGAATATGAGCTTGATAAGTCTGAAAAGGAAGAGACTGCGGAAGTCACAGCTGTCTGTAAGGAGAAGCTTGCCTTCTTCCACAACAACTAGGCTAGAAGAATCATTCTAGAAAGCTGTATCCCATTAATCGTCAACTGGGTTATAGGCCTCGTGACAGCCAAAGAGGTATGGGATAAGCTTAAGAGAATGCATGCCTACAACAGGCTGTAGCAGCTAGACTCTAAAAATGAGGCCTTTAGAAGCTATCTTCTACTAGCGACTACCCTAGTGTTTGATGTTGCCACAATGCTAAATCAACTCCAAGACGTAGCAATAGAGCTAGAAGACAGGCCCTCAGACTTAAGAAAGGTCAGCTGGCTACTGGTAATTATGAGAAGTCGTCATAGTAGCAAATATGACATTGCGAGCACCTAGATTAGGGTGGCAAGGATCACAGATTACTAGGATATCATTGACTAGTGTCAAGAAGTATAAAGCATGAATAACGGTTATTTTATGTACGAGCGCAACAGGAGAAGACCGAATTCAACCTTGGTTTATTGGAAAAGCTAAAAAGCCACGAGCTTTACAAGGAATCGATATTCCTAAGTCTATCATAGCTCAGAGGTGTTGCTGTTGTATCTTAGCAACCACATGTAGCTGCATGCTACCTGTCGTGGCACACAGCTGGTTTGTACTAGGCCTGTCTTTGTCACTTACTAGTGGCCTACTGTCGAGGACTCCTAGTTTTTTAACTAGAGTTGTCTAGTAGATCATCATCTCTTGAGGATCTCTTTCATGTACTCCTACTTGTAGTAAACTAGTTGTTCTAAGAAGGGCAAACAGGAATGCTCTGTCTTGTCCAGACAATGGATTAGACAGTCATAAGTATAACACTTTGACCATGGCATAATATAGTGCTAAGGATGATCAGTCCTAGTCATGTCCTAGTCCTGCAATCCCCTTCCTTCTTCATCTGTAGGAACTCTATTAACGTGGTACATGTTGACTCTAAACATCTCTCCAAGTTGAGATCTGTCATGTCCGCCTTCTATCTCTAGCTGTTCAAGCGCTTAGATAAGGCTCTCCTGTCAGTATTTATAGACCCTGTGGTTAGGATGATAGATGTTAACAGTTCTTCCTTCTGCGATGGCATCCTAGATGTCATATTCGCAGAGTTTATTCTTTAGCTAATTAGTGGCTTCCTTTTCTGTGTGTTGTCCACCTTAGGGTTCCTGCTAATGTAGGTACCCTAGGCAACACCTCATAGAACAGACCTTGACTTCCCAATCTTGTTTAGTGCCTGTCCATCGTTCTAGGCATCTTGATACTAGGACCTTTTTGTCCTAGTTCTAGAGGATGCTCTTCTTCATTTTTTAGTCGAGGGGGTCAAAATCCTCCTTGCCTAAAGAGATACACTCTTCCTTATCAAGGACCTCATAATTCTCGTCTAAGCTCTGCCATTTAGGGGTGCTTTCATCATTCATTCCCCTGTCTAACATATCAAATTCTTTAAGATCCTAAGTACTGATACTCTAGATCTTTCCTATAACGTGGCACACAGCTGTCCTTGCAGGGCATCGTACCCGCCCTGATTATTCCAAGTGGTATTAAGCTGCTTGCTAAACTTACGTCCCCTGCTTCCCTTTTTAGGCTGTCTACAGTCCCTAGCCGTGTAGCCGGACTTGTTGCAATTAAAACAGAGCTGTTACTTAAGCTGTCGCTCCTTGTTAGGGTTATGTAGGCGGTTGCCTTGCTTAAAGGTGGCATCAAGTTCCATAGGGTCAAACCATCAGTTGTCTTGAGAATGGTTGTCTCTCTTTTGACCTTCATTACCTCGATACTTGTAACTCTTCTTCGGGTTGTCGTAAGTTCGTTGTTGCTTCTAGATGCAAGTTCTGTATAGACATGGCTCTTTAGTCCATGACGATAGTGGCTAATGAGTGTGTAGGTATCCTAATTGGTTTAGTTGCCATATCTTTGGAATTCTATAGTGTATGTGAGGGCGCTACTAGCCTGCTTCAGTCCATACAGATGTTCTTCTGTAGTTTTAACCTCATTGATAATGCTAAACATATGGCGGATCTCCTTCTTAAATTCCTTCTAAGTACCGAACATAGTTCTAGTGGTCACCATCGTACCATAGGTGTTCTCATGTTAGAAATAGTCCTTAAGGAAGGGTTCTACCCATCGAAGGGTTTCCTC